TAGTGAAACATATTTCATTGGTGCTCTGGGCTAGATTTAAAACACTGCACCTCTTGGTAAACAATCAAATATCAGCACCACTACAGATCAAAATCACTGTCAGTTAGAACAGCTAGGGAAAAAAGTAACCTTAAAGGAAACAAATACTAAATTCAGTATAAATACCAATAAAGGGCAAGTGTGGGCAGCTCTACTTAGAAACATAGGCAGAACTATGCATAGCATCTTTCATATAAAAAAAGGCTTCCTCAGCATCAGTGGAATTAACAGAGTGAACTTTTGAAAAACCAAAGCATATCAACTGCAGACAGTTGTAATGTAATGTAACCCCTGTAGAAGTGGATGCTCTAACAGACAGTTTAACATCAGGTTAAAAATCTATGCGACTCTAGAAGGGTGCATGCTTGTTAAACCTTAAAGGGAAACCAAGAGTAACATTTAGAAAGGATGAAGGGAATTGCAGTTGCCAGAGCAGGCAAGCCAAACATATTCTTTTTATTTCAACGCCTAAAGCACTCTGGCAAAGTGAATGTTCATGGATCCTCCCCCAAAGGGTTTACGTGCTAATTAAGCGTAACAGTTGCAAAGGCTTGCTTGGCTGCAAGCTGAGCGGGTGAGCTGTGCCTAACAACTTTGCAAGGAAGGCAGCAAAAAGTTTGCAGACAGTGCAATAGCTTTTCTAAATGGAGAATATGCTGTGCACAATGCATGTTTTTTCCTTGAGCATTTGAACTGTGACCAGAGCCCCCATTGCAAACCCTGGGCTCTGATTGGCTACTATAGTGCCATAAAAAGCTGAGGGAGGAAAAACTAGAAGGGGAGAAGCCAAAGGAGAGCAACATCAGCCTGGAGAGAGGGGCAGAGACTCAGCCTCTCCTTTCCTTCCTCAGGCAAAGGGAACAGAGCTGGGGAACAGACATCACTGATTCCCCACCTGGGCCAGAGCTGTGCAATCAGCCACAAGTACCTAAGAAAAGAGTGAGGCGGGGTTGGTAAGCTGGCTGGGAGCTGGGAGAAGCTGCCTGGTCAGGGACCTGAAGAGGGAAATCCTCTGTTTGAGCTGAAAAGGCTTGAACTGAAGGGACACAGGCCTGTAGAAGGAATCCCCTATCTACATGTGAAGGTGCTGGGGGGAGATTTACAGCCTGCTCCCTCTCTGGGCTGTCTGAATCCCAAATCTGCATGGGTCTGTGAGGGGACACTTAACCCCTAGTGTTTGCAGAACATATACTTTTCAGAAGGAAACTAAAGAAGCCTATTACCTACAGTGGCTGATGGGAGACTTCCCTGCTGTGATAGAAGCCGGACTCGAGGGGATCACCTTCAGACCTCAGGTTGGGGAGGACCGGGTTAGAGAGCTTCTGGAGGGGCTGGACGCGTTCAAGTCAGCGGGTCCGGATGCTCTCCACCCCAGGGTGTTGAGGGAGCTAGCTGGGGTTATTGCAGGGCCCCTGGCACGGCTCTATGAGCGATCGTGGTGCTTGGGCCAGGTGCCAGATGATTGGAAGGTAGCAAATGTGGTCCCCATCTTCAAGAA